ACTTCCCATGTATTAGAAATAAAAGGACAATAAAATACAGACTGGTGTCCTCTCTGTTGTTGGCTGTCCGTCAAGCTGAAGTGTGCATTTACACATTCAGAGCATACATGTGCAGAACTAGGTGAAATCCTGTTTTTCTTCCCTGTAAAGAAACCCCATCTTGAAAAGAAAAGCTTTGCACCTCAAGTACAGTCTGGCGTTTGAACCAGTAAATAAATGAACATAAGAATCCACTTCAGTCATAAACACAAATCATTCATAGGTAGTATTCTGTTGTCCGTTGTGCCTTCATGGAAGGTGAGAGGGCTACTCCAAACTGCCGAAGCAAAGGCAAGCTAGTGGCATGAACGCATAAAGAAAGCAATCAAGTCTACAGTGAAAATGTACCAGAAATGCAGTCTGAATATGGCTCCAAACCGAAGGTATTCAGTCATTGAGATGTCTTCACTTTCCAGGGAAATGAGAGGATGGATGTAGTGTTGTGATATATACATAATAAATTAACGTGGTGTGACTTCAACTTCGACCAAGTTCTACTTCTACCTTATGTTCAAGAAATAAACACATTTCAATAAGACTTGTAAATGAAAAGAAAAAAATCTGTATTCACAAAAATATATTTAAGAATTCAGTCTATATTTTATTTTAAAATGTTTGCTAAACCTTGAAGAAGTAGGCCAAAAGGTGCAAAGCATGCAACAAACCAGGACATTGTCAGAGAGAGAACAACTTGTTTGATGCTAAGTTACTTTTCTTCAGTGTTTCTTCACCTTTTCCAACTGCAGTGGATGTGGAAGTTGTAGAAGTGACAGTTGTTCAGGACCTTTGTGTATAATATTATGGATTCACCATTGCAATATGGGTCGTTCTACACACCACCGAGTCAGTCTGAAGGTTGGTGCTCTACAGGACAGTAAGCATGCAAGCAGATGGTTGGTGCCTCAATGGCAGCATTAAAAGAAGTCAACTTTTTCTCTTGTGGGCCTCACACTTTTCAGATCAGAGCTAATGAAGCTAAACTAAGCTAAGCTGACAGAAGGATGTGAGAGTAGTAATCCAGTTGCCATACAGGTACAGCAGCATTGGTCCAGTGTTGAGCTCCAGGGCTCTACAAGGCATGCTGAGGGCCTCACAGTGTTTCTGGGAGGGAAACGGAGAAAATAAATGCAGGTTTAAAGATTATAGTAGCCAGAATGCAAAAAGAAAAAGTTATTTACAAGCTATTAGGAATGTATTAATCTCACCTGTCTGGTTCTCTGGAGAAGGGGCGTGTGTGGAGTGGCACTTATTTTTCTATAATGAAAAAGGATCCTATGAATTAGTGCATTGCATAAAATACCGGTATGAAAACTTGTTTTTGTTTTTTTTACAAACTGTCACTGTGATCTGCCAAGCGCCTGTCTCTTTTTACATTACATTACATTTCCTTTAGCTGACGCTTCAATCCAACCCCTGGTTAGTACATGAATGTATTGTGCACAAACACTGTCAAATATAATTTTTCATATTATTTCCCTTTTAAAGGGGCCCTATATTATTATTATTATTATTATGTTTTTGTGCATGTAAATGGTCTGCAAAGGCTAAAATCTCAAAGTACCCTCCAGAAGGAGTTTCTTTTCCACACACTCCCCCCTGCCTGAAAACGCCTCCATTCATTGGACTCCTCTGTTTACTTCAGTAACATAGTGACATCTCTGTGTAACACTCTATTGGCTAGCACTCCAACATATTGTATGGTGCAGAAAATCTCTAATTGGTTGACCAATCACAATAGAGCTGACAAATTAACCAATCAGAGCAGTCTCGGCTCTGGTTTCAGACAGAGGTTGAAAAGAGGTGCTGCACATTAAAGCATGGAAACATGTCATAGTAGAGGCTAAAATGACAAATATGATCCTGAAAATGAACATAACAGGGCCCGTTAAATAAAATGTCCAATTTATCCTCGTGGCTTTAGGGTTTAGGAGTCAGGCATCACACCATTTTTACACCGTCAGTTTGTACTGTATATGTTTTGACAATAAACATTTAAATTGGATCAATGCCACTATCCCTTACTTTATAATTTCCTGACCTACTGACTAAAGTGTCCCTCACAATAATATCAAACTAATTCTAATGTTTAAGGTGTACATTTTAAAGAAGCAAATGTTTGTGCCTATCATATTGAATCTCATAATTATGTGTGGCTTTACAGTTCAGACTTCACGACTGCTTTACATTTAGATACAGCTTAAACAAGCATTGTGCCACCTAAGAATGAACCCGAAGAGGAGAAACAAGAGCTTTGATTGGACAAATATATATATTTGTTTGTGCATTCAGGTGGTGCTAAACACTCAGCGTGGTTCATTACCTTCTGATCTAGTCGATAGTGCAGACTTCTGTCTGACAGCCAGGGGTGTCTGAGGGACTCCGCTGCGCTCATCCTCCAGCTCTTGCTCTTCACCAGCAGAAGTGTGATGAAGTCTTTTGCTTCGTCGGAGATGTCCTTGAACTCCTCCTCCTCAAAGTTCCACTGACAGGCCAGGATGTTGTTCAGCGTCTCGTTGTCGTCGTCTCCCAGAAACGGAGACAGCCCACTGAGCCTGGAACAAGAGGAAAGAGATCAGGGATGCTACTCTGTTCCTTTATATCTATACTTGCAAATATACATCTATGTGAATGAGCATCCCATAACTCACAGCATGTACGCAATCACGCCCAGGCTCCACATGTCTGTTGGGAATGAAACAAACTCATAGTTGATGACTTCAGGAGCTAAAAACTCAGGTGTTCCAAAGTTGACCCTCAGCTTCTCTCTGGGCTTATATCTGTCAGAGAAACACAAGCAGACATATAAGAGTCTGAGAGAATCCACAACATTTGAACTATACATAATGATGATTTTACCTCCTGGCCAGGCCAAAGTCAATGATTTTAATCTTGTTAGTAGCTCTGCTGACACAAAGAATGTTTTCTGGCTGAAAAGTAACAAAAGAGAAGGATTATAAAAACAGAATATAAAACAAATACAATTGTTTAAATTTGATGATTTTGTATACTGCTTTTCAGACAAATCCTTCCCTACGTGGATTATAACTCCAAAAGAAATAGTGCTTTAAGCATCTTCAACTTAAATTAACTAAAAAGTGAGAAAGAGACTTAAACCAACAGAGTATAAACTATGGAATTCAATATTTGACTTGCGTTTGGATTGGAAAAAAGTAAACATCAATGTGACAGCAACATAAGATATTTCTTAATGAGAGAATTTAAGATTTGAAGCAGGGTTTACCTTGAGGTCAAGATGCAGGATGTACATCTTGTGCATGTACTGCAGGCCTTCACAGATCTGGCGTATGAACAGCACTGTGTCCAGCTCTGTCAGGTTGTAGTTCTCATCGATGATGCGGTCAAACAGTTCCCCTCCCTCCACACTGCGGCACAAAGAGAAGCGCAGACACATTACAGCAAGGAAGATCTTGGAAAAAATACGAGGGTACATACTGAGTACCAACATAGGAACCCTGACTTACTATTCCATCACCAGGATGATGTCATGGCGCGACTCGAAGGCGGCGTACAGCTGGATGAGGTTGGGGTGGTTCAGCTGGTTCATCACCTGGATCTCATTCCTCACCAGGTCCTGAGAGACAGACAGAAGACTCAGTAATCACAATCTCAGACTGTTTTACTGGCAAAATGTATCGAAGTTCATTAACGGCAAATGTCTGCAAGTCAAGCTTCACATGCAGTAAGAGGAAGTTGTTTGCTCTGCCAAAAATGAATACATTCTTACTTTTATTTATTTTTAAATGGCCGTTATCTGATTTACTCTCCTTTATGGTGACAGACCTGTAAGGTAATATATCATTGTGTAAGCAATTTATTAAGCAAAGACTTATTGCAGCTGCTTTACAGAAAATGCTTTCCATTCAAAAGCGAATACAAATGTATGTGTGAGTACAGTTGTAGTCACATGTTTGTAAATGTGGCACCTAGCCAGTAAAGCGTATTGGATGAAGATAATGTACAACATGCATAATATATTCAACTGTTTGGTTGTACCCATGTAGTTGAATGCACTTATTGTCTATTTGGATAAAAGGATCAGCAAAATAAATGTAAAACAGATACTGTAAATCGTGCATATCTTATTTTGTATTGCAACCATTTAAAAAAAAAACTGTTTTACAGAGGTTGCTTTTATATATTTACATGCGCCAACAAAACAAAAAAACATTATTTGTATGTGACAACCTACGAAAGGAACAAAGAGGTTGACAAATTCTCATGTCCACACACTCTGGGTTTTTGAGCTGAATCTATTTTTAAAATGTAATCCTTTATGATCCTTAGCAATGATAAGTATTTAGCTTTAATTGCTTATTACTGCACCTTTTCTTTCTGGCTCCTGGCTTTAATGATCTTGGCAGCCAACATCAGATTAGACGAGTTCTCTATGCACTTGTGGACTTGCCCAAAACGTCCCCTGAAACACAGAGAGGGGTCAAATACATAAATACAAGATACAGAGTATGAGAAGATAAATCATTATACATTTTCCTAGCTTAGGTCCAAAAACAAGATATTTGGGATTTCTAAAACATCACTTAATCTGGTGCTGATAAGATCAACATCAACAGAAACAACTGTTTAAATGTTGTGTTTGTAACTGTTGGGAAAATACTGAATGTACTCTTTCTATATCAGAGTAGCACATGATAACCAACTGTAGGCTGTGTACGTAACAGGATGTATGACTACCTAGAAGAGCATCATGACACACTCTTTTAGGCATAGGATAGCTATGTGACAACGATTAACATGATGATTCAGCCTCTATGGAGATAGACATGACTGTCATGTTTATTGCTTAGCTAATCTGAACTAAGCAAAGCATACTGCTTTGAACCGGTATTCTGCATCTTGTGACTGTAACACTCTCTTGTGTATAAGCATGTGAAGGACACTGTTCTGGGAACTATACCATATGTACCGTATGTGATGATTACTTCCATTCTCGCATGGATAAATAAATACATGTATCCTGATATTGGAACTAAAGGCAGTGACGAATGAGATTGTTCTAACAGTAACTATTTAGTTATTTATCATCATCAAATAAAAATTGTATTGCTAGTTTCAGCATCTCATGCAGAAAAATTAAAGTTTTATATCATTGTAAATTCATCTATTTTGGACTGTTGGTGGGG